GCTCGGAGAGACCTCCCCCTGGAGGTCGCGCAGCCCCCGGCTGAGAGGTGCCGGGGCTTTGTTCTCCGCTTGTGGTCCGAGGGGGAGGGTGCTCGGTGCGCGATCTGTGGACCCCCCCCAGGGAAGAAGCATCTCCGGGGGCCGAGTGGGCCTGAATTGGCTCGTTGGAGTTGGGCCTTAAGACCTCAATGAAGATCGTGACCCACTTAGGTGCTCGCAAAACCCTGCAGAGCCGGAGGGCTTTCCCTGGGGTCTGCGATCCCCAAAACCTACAAGTTTACTGTGGGATGTGTGTCACCAGATTCTCATCATCCCAAAAGAGGAAGAACTTCCACGCAGGGTCTAGAGTCTGATCCTCTGGAGAGGTCCTTTCCCCTCCCCGCTGGGTGTGTAAGGGTTAACAGGACCAGAGCGCTTTCCCCTAGGGGCGCGCAGGCAAGATTTAAAAGGTTAAAAATGATGCATTTCTTCGTCCACTTTATAGATGAGGAAACTGGGGCACGGAGTTTGAGGGCCCAGCTGCAGATCACACGGGCTCAGGTTTTTCCTGATGTCATCCTTAATGCCTCTGCATTGCTGTGAAAGTGCATTCTCCCTGCCCTCCCAGTGAAGGGTCAGCGTGTTAAGTGGTGGAGGACCCTGAAGCGAAGAGCCTGTGTCAGTGGAGTGTCTTACCTTGGGTCCGGGCCCAGGCCAGTGCCAGGGAAATGGCCACAGTACTGAGAAGTGGGAGCACAGGAACTGTCATCCTTTAAGACATCTAATTCTCTGTGCGAGACTCCAGGCATTTGCCCCCCCAGTCACTGTTAGGAGAGATCTGAAAGGAAAGGCCAGGCAGGCTCTGCCTCTGCTGTGGTCTCGCTTGAGTTGAGTTTCCAGTCAACCTGTTAGAGCAGTGAGTTTTGTGTCAGGAAGTAGAAGATTCTTACCCAGTGCTGAGATGCACCCAAGAAGGTAGTCACGGAGAGAGTTTGCGCCAAGGGACCCCAGGCTCTCCACCAGCACTGCGTGCAGCTGGCTTGTCTGATGGAAGTGGCCTTTTTCTTAGTCTTACTGGGAGGTTCCATTGCTCCCTGTGAGTAGGCACAGCAGTCCATTGCAGTTTACATTTGTTTTATATTTACAACTCGCTTATCTTTTAAATTTCTGAGACATATATATGTACATATACAGACATCCCTTCCCCTGCCCCCTTAGAAAACAAGAGGGCCTGTTAAGCAGTTTCTTTTGGCCTGGTCAGCACCCCATCCTCGGCTTGGCGCGGGAGACTGAGGGTTCAACAGATGATGCTCTTTTATGCCTCCTGGAAGGTGCACACCGCAAGTTTGAAGTTTGTATTAGCATCTGTTGAGTTTGGTCCAGTGTCAAGGCTGGGCCCATGCTGCCCCACTGCCTTCTCACAGGCCTAGCTGGGCACTGCCCCTCGTCCTAGGTGGGCCTCTGGCCCAGTATCCCTGGCCCCAGGTTCCTGGGCTCCAAGAGAGGCGCAAGGTCTCCACCTGTTCAGCAGCTCTGGGGTGCCTGTCTGCTGCCACAGGCTGACAGCAGTCCCCAGCTTGTTTTAGAAAAAGGCTTTTTACTGAGAAGTTTGCAAGCCTCGCCGCTGTTTGGGGTTGCTTCAAGGAGGTTTGTGCGAGAGCAGCTGCCCAGAGTTGTCTGAAAGCACGTTGCCTTTATTTACCTCAAATCTGCAGGTACTGGGCTTGTGAAAGATCAACCCCAGATACTTGTGTGGTTGAGGGGCAAAGTGGCCTTCAATAAAAGACGTGTATTTCTGTAAAATATTCTTATGGTTTCAGTCCCGGAAAACGCTCTCTCCAGGGACCTCGGGTTTGTGTGTAGTTATGTTGGATGAGCATTTTATGGTTCTCTGGGGTTGCTGCAGCCCGAATTCCCGGTGAAGTTCATAACCCTGTGGGTAAAGCAGGCAGCCTTGGCTGAATCCTGGAAAATAGGTGAGTGTTGCGAGCTGTCCACGTTTTGCCACTTGTTCAGTGTTAGGTTGCTAAGATTTGGGGACCCTGAGACATCTCTCCCATCTGAAAGGACCAAATAAATACGACTGAAAACGGAGCTTGCAGTCTGTTTGTGTTGATAGCCCACGAGGGAGTCTGTTTTCGCTGGCGTTTCTCTGACGGGTCTTCCCTCTGCCGAGAGCAGCAGCTTTCTAAATGGATATATGTTAAAGGTTGACTCGCGGCCTCATAAACATGCTCCTTACCCTTGAGCAATAATTCAAAAATCGCTTTGGACCAGAAAGCCCATTTTGTTGATGAAAGACGCTCAGTGCGTTTTTCTGCTGTGGCCGTTCCCCTCGGCCCGGCGTCCGCGACCGCGTTGTCACGAGGCAGCAGGTGAAATGAGGTTCAGTCACAGCTCCTCCAGCGCTTCTGCCACGTGGCCGTCGGACACACTCAGCGTCGCAGACACGGAGTTCATCCGAACACAGTCAGCCCGTCAGTGAAGGTGGGTCACACCACAGAGGGTCCCGTGACCTCTGGCGCTCAGCCCTGGCAGCCATCACTGGAGGCCTGGGTGGAGCCAGCAGGCACTGGGGTCTCTCCCACCCGACGGCAGTTCAGCTCTGTGACGCGGGGACGTGGGCTGTGATTTAAGCGTGTTAGGAGTTCTATTCCTTATTTCAGTTTTTTATTTTATATTGGATGGAGGGAAGAATTTAGTTATAGAGAAATAAGAGTATACAGCAAACAATTATGTAGATAATAGCACTGAAATTCAGTCGGTTTTCTCCATCTAAAGTGTGAGGGAATAGAGCCCAGGACAGACAAACCTGAATAAGATAACGGTTAACGCATTCCTAGGAATCAGACCACGGACACCTTGTATCAGAAAGGTTGGGTTTTTGTGTAAATGCTTAGCTGGCTTGATGGGCCAGTACCCACAAGCCCTTGACCACTCGTGCAGATGCTGACATCTTCAGGTCACAGGGGAAACCCTGCGTCTGCCTAGGGCGGTTGCAGCAAGCTCTGGCAGTCTGGCGGGGCTGCAGGTCCTGCGGGGGCCAGCAGCCCTGGCGAATGTCGCTGTCGTGAATGCGTCTCGTGTGGAGTGGTGTAGCTGTCTCAACGGTGAGCCCTCTGCCTGCCTGGGGGACAGGAGGGGGTCTGCCAGGACAGGGGTGCTGCCTGGCCCGAGGTTGCAGGCATTCCAGGGTCCTTTTCCCACCCTTTGGCCTGGCAGTTCATCTCAAGGTGCCTTAGTTCCTCCCTGAGTCTCTGCTGCCCCCTCCATGCAGACCCGAGGAACAGTGGAGAGCAAGTCATTGACGTGCGCAGAGACCCAGGGCCGCTCCTTCCACGGGGAACTCGACAGAACCCACTGACTGCTGTTCGTCTTCTGCAGTAGACCTGTAGAAAGTTCCAGCCAGGCCTGCCAGTTAAACAAAGAAAGGGAGATAACCAGGGGAAACTAGGCTCCCTTTCAAGTAACCTGAGTCTGTGGGTGCTACAGGATAGGGCTCCCCTCTGATTAAGGTCATTCTCTAAATAATTGAAATGTGGCAAAGCCAGTCTCTGGCGGTTTGGTTTCCCCTCTGCATGCTGACTGCGAGATGTGTCCTGGAGATGGACCGTCTTCCTCCAGCCACGTAGATGTGGCTGAGCAGGTGAGCGTGACGGGCCCTACTCAGCAGGCATGTCACTGATGGCAGATTTGGGTCTTGCAGAGTTTCCTAAGAAATGGACTCATGCATCGGGAAGATGCGTTCATCCTAAAGATGCATGCCCCGCCAGGACATCCACCACGTGGAGGTTAGAATGCCTGGATCTGGAGCTGTTGGGCCTTTTTTTCTTCCAAGAACAATTCCTTAAACAGAAGGAAACCTCTTCTTTTCCTTGTAATGTCCTGGGATGATGATGTAAAGGATGGAAGCAGAACGGGAAGATACTGCTTCCCTTGCCCAACTGGAACTGAGAGGATGGTTCAGAATTGCATCTGACTAATAATCTACGTTGAAATGTATACTTGGGCATTTCAGAAATAAAGCAAAGTGCTGAGACTGTTTTATGAGTGCCACCCAGATTTGGCCAGTGGCCCTGTTAGGTGGCACGTATTCCCATTGCCCATCTGAGAGTGTGTGGCCCTAATGATGTTCTGTGTTGAGAGACCAAGGATGAGGAGTGATGAGTCCTGGCTGGGAACCACAGCCTCTCCCTTGCACAGCCCGGCCCGGCCTCAGGGAGTTCCCTAGTTCCCCTCGCTGCTGATCCCCTGGCTCTGGGGTCAGCGGAGGATGAGCCCATCGAAGGCTGCCCGGGTCAGATCTGCCCACCCCCACCAAAGCCTCATGCTCCTGTGTCGTCCTCCCTGCAATGGAGAGGTTGAACTCAGTGCTCTGAAGTTTCCCCGCAGACAGGTTCTGGGAACAGTGGGCAGCACTCGGAGGAAGGATGGGCGTAGTTACCGTGCAGAGATGACTCGGGCTCCTGAGGTTTCAGGTCCATGGGGGGAGCACCACACTTGCGGTGGAAAGATGTGGACTTGGCCCCAAGGACAGCTGGGGCCCCCTGTGACACGCAGGCCTCCTGCGGTACCTGTGTAAGGCAGTTTGCAGAGTGCAGGGGCGGATGTCATTTGGCTTACTTTATAGTGTTTTGCAAAAGAAATTTTAAAGAGAAGTCAAAGGATAAAAATGAGCCTGGGCATAACAGATGAGCTGCTGGGGGCAGGTTTGGGAGGCGAGCTGACAAGCTGGTGATTCCGTCAGGCTTCTGTCTGCCGGGCGAGCCGCCGGCCGAAAGCGCGGTTAATGAGTCATTTTTCTTTTGTTTCTTGCTGTCATTGGACAGACTTGGAAAGCTAGAAGCAGCATCGCAAGCTAATTCGTTTTCCATCTCTCTGTCTCTAGAAACTTGAAGGGTCTAAGTGCAAAGGACAGCTTTTGATTTTTGGGGCCACCAACTGGGACTTGATTGGTCGGAAAGAAGTGCCTAAGCAACAAGGTATGAGAACAGTTCCTGGAAACGTAAGATGCTTCTGTTGGTTGAGTGCTTCCTGTGTGTGCACTCGGGGGCCAGTGTCATTCTGGTGACCGCCCGCCAGGTAGGTGTTCTCTTCATCACAGAAGTGTGCAGAAAGGCCAGGTGGCTTGCCGGAGTTGACTCAGCGACTCTAGTGATGGAGCTGGATTTGAACCCTGCTCTTATGCGAGTCTCTCTCTTCACAATTCCACCTTTAAAAAACCAATGCCGTTAAGATGAAACAGGAAAAGTATAAATAGTAGCCTCGAAATACTGACACTTTCTTCCCATCTTCCTTCTCATGTCACTTATTTTCATTAAAAGGAAGGGGCTGGTCCTGTGGGATGTCGGAATGTCCTAGACATTTGTCACATATCAGATGTCAGACTGTTAGACATTTCGGAAGAGTCCACAGTTCTTTGTAAGCTGCCAAATCGTGCAGGAAGTGGATTGACAGAGCAAGTCACAGTCTGGGGTGGGGGAAGCCGAGAGGTCCTAGGAAGTAAGTTTTTGTCCCCATGGCCGTTAGAAAATCGGTGTCTTTGCTCAGGAGAATCCTGGCCCATCCAAGAGAAGTGAGGCTGGCACGTCGCCACGTTTTATGGCGTCTTGATTTCATTTGGAAAGATTCCCAAAGTACTTTCCAACACTGCCCAGCGAACAAATATTTGCACACTGACACTCCTAGCGCCTCAAGGCGGGAGGTGGGGATCATCTTATTCCGTGAAAACAGCAGGCGTTTCAGCAGCACTCGGGGTCCAGCTGAGTTAGAAGGGGGTCCGAGCCATTTTCTTCCTGTTGTGGAAAGTGCCCACATCAGGGCCTGACCAGGACACCCCCCACCCCCACCCCGTGTGTGGCGACACACCAGCCCCCAGTGCGTTGCGTTGTTTCTCAGAGCTGCTCTCCAAGTGAGTGGCCCACTCGCCGTTAAGCGCTCAGGCCCAGAGAGGGGAGGTAGGTTCCCGAGGAGAGCCAGTGGCGGAGCCTGGGTTGCCTCCTTCTGGTGCGGGATGGGGTGGAGCTGCTCAGGCCGACCTGCCACAGCTGCCCCCCAGCCTCTGAGCTGCAGCAGGTAGGGAAGCCGCCTGGTGGGTGAAAACAGCAAATTGTGCCCTAACTGGGCTCATTGTAAGAGCCTTGTCTTCCCTTCCCGCCTTCGCTCCCCCGACTTTTCTCCCTCCAAGTGAAGTTTTGTATATATTTCAAGAGTATTTGTAACTGTCTTTAGGCCCCCGTGGCCTTGCCAGTAGACACAAAGGGAGGGGAAGAGGACTTGTTTTCCCGCTGGTGCCGAACATGAGGGGAAGGACGGTTTTCCCTGCCACCCTCGTCCTTCCAGTCTCTTCCATCCTTCAAGTGTGCCTCCCCTCAGAGGGCCGGGGGAGCCCATGGATGCACGTTTTGTAAAATCAAGGTAATAGCGATTCACGCTCCATCTCCCAGTAGGACCGGGCCCCGGGAATTGATGGCCGCCAGCCTGGCCGAGGAGCTGGGACTGCTGCCGGGCATTTCATTTGACTGGGATCCCTGTGACAGGCTTCTGTGGGAGGCCCAGGAAGCCCTCTCGCTCCGAGCTGATGGCATCCTGGGTGCTGATGTTCGTGGGGCTGCTGCAGGGAAGATGCTTGGGCAAATGAGAGCCTCTCCCCACCTGTGAGCCGGGTCTGCTTAGCCACGCCGGGTCAACCGTGGCACCGTTGACTGCCAAGGTGTCCCCTGGCGCCGTGTGGTTTCACAGAGATGATACACGTCAATCATGCCACCTTCATTTTCCCTTCATGATAAACAGACCATGACAGCCTGTGAAGGCTGTGAATTTTGGTTTGCTCTTTCCCCAGAAGATTTTTGTTTTTCTTCCACCTTTTAGTAGTGGAGGGGTGTCCTCAGGTGGAGAAGCTACAGGGTGTTGCTGAGAGACATGATCTGTAGTCCTGAATCGGTGTGGGGAGGTGGGGGCCTTTGCCCTGCTGCCTGGACAGCCCCCTGTAACTAAATGAGGACACCCATGGTGCCCTCTGCTGATGGGGCGCGGCGGCAGGCTGGGGATGGATGGACAGGGAACAATCACAGGTACTTCCCCATGGAGCATGGTGATTGATGGAGAAATCAGCCTGTTAATCAGTTCCTGCATCCAGGTCAACCTGACACAATTGATTTGGCAGTGGCTAGCATTTCATAATAGTCACCACAGGCCTAGAAACACGCTCATGTTTCTGTCCTCAAGAGCCCTAAATTGAAAATACTAAGCAAAAATTGGCCATGCCCTGTCCACTAATTGGGTGAAGTGGAGGTTTTGAAGGAGGTGCCTGTTCTTCCTCGCTCCCACGCTCCCTTTAACCTTATGGAGTGCTTGCTAAGTGCCAGGCCATATTTGTGAGGCCCTCGGACTAGAAGGAGCCCTGGCTCTCGCCCTCAGGTTGCTAGAACAGTGGGAAGGCAGGCACGGGAGTTAGTAGGGTCAGTGCTGTGATACAGGGCTCAGGGATTGACGAATTAAAAGGGGGATGGGCAGGGAGGGCTTCCCAGAGGAGGGGGTGTTTGACCTGAGGTTTGAAGAACAAGCAGGGGGCAGGCAGGGGAGGGCATGCTGGGGGAGTGAATACATGGGCAAAGGCAAGGGCTCGTGACCTGGCCGGCACAATGGGACCCCTGAGAAAGGAGGAAACCCAGCGGAGGGAGATGCAGTGAGGGAGGGCAGTCTGCTGGGGCCCCTTTGCAAAGGGCCTGATAGATGTATGGGGAGGGTGGTGGTTCTGTGGAGGATGGGACACTCAGACTCAGCTCCAGAAGGGCTTTCTGGCTGCAGGGGCCTCTGGCCGGGTCCCCTGTCAGCTTCCCTGGGTTGGCCCCCCACCCCGACAGGGCTGCAGGAGGAAGAGTACCTGGCCTTTGGCCACCTGCATGCCGGAATGCTCAGTAGTACTGCACGAGGGCCTGCGGTCCCCGTGGGTCAGGGCCAGAGACAGGTGGAGGCTCATCAGCATCCAAAGGGTCACTGACCAGGTTGGCGCCAGCTCTGGGGGCAGTTGGTTGGAGCTGCACACTTTCTTGGGGCAGCTTCCCGATGCCAGGCTGGTGTGGCACCGCAGGGAGCCCCTGCGATTATACATAGGGGCGTGGACCCTTTGTGGCTGATGACATTTGTGGGGTGCTCTTCCCTTCCCCAGCACTGCTGGACGGGTGTTTGATTTGCATTCTTGTTCTCTTTGCAGCTGCTTACCGCAACCTGGGTCAGAACTTGTGGGGGCCCCACAGGTACGGGTGCCTGGCGGGGGTCCGGGTGCGGACAGTGGTTTCGGGCTCGTGTGCTGCCCACAGCCTCCTCATCACCACAGAAGGGAAGCTGTGGAGCTGGGGTAAGTGCCAAGCTCCTACGCCACGCTCCCCCCGCGGGGCGACTTCCTTCTTCTGTCCGCCCAGAAGGAGGCCTGCGCCTTTATTTGCAGCCCCCATCTCCTCTCTTCCCAGTTCTCAGCAAGTCTCGCCTGTACACCACAAATACATCACCTTCCTCCTCTTTTCTGCTGTTTTTTTGTGTGTACGTAGCCCCCTCATTCTTTGAATTCTCTTTTTTAAGCAACCTTTTCCTGAACCTTCTGACTGAATTTGGATCTTCCCGATATCAAGGTGCCTAGAATTGAATTCCTATTTTAGGCATGTTGTCCCCCCAGCAGACAGTCCCCCCTTCTTGCCTTGCGGCACAGTATGATGTAAGACCTCCACTCTTAGCACTTGAAATGCCACCAGCCTGTATAACGGCCACGTCGTGACAGCCCCGCGTCTCTGCAGCCCTGTTCCTCTTTCTGGGGATCACGCAGGTCTGCAGGTTTTGTAGCTTGTTCGTTGCCTGTTTGGTCTGTTTCTTATTATTTCCCCAGACAGTTGACTTTACTTTCTCTGTGTTGATGTGCTTTCCTTGCCGCTGGACTCTCTTGCCCACGTACCTGGGAGGTCTCCCTGTCCTTGCCTTTTAGCCTCCCTTCGTCCCCATGTCCTCTGCAGAGCTGTCCGTGCCTTGTGCTGTGTCCTCTCCTAGGTCCGGTAGTCCAGGTATTGACAGCCTCATTGATGCCCACGCCCTCTGGGAGCTCCTGGACTCTCCTTCCAGCTGGGTGTTTGGGCACTCGTCCCCGCCCTTTGTTTCTGGTCCTTTGGCTAGTTTTTAGTCCATATGACTGCGTTTTTATTTTGGTCTGTTTGAACCTTTTTTTTGCAATTTCATGAGCTGCTGTACCAAAGTCCAAATGTATTAACATCTGTTGTCTTCCCTGCACTCTGCTAATTTTGTAATTCTGTTGAAAATAAGCTAACAAGTGTGTCTGGCCCAGATTTCTACTTTATCATCTCTTGCTGACATGGCCACCGTGTTCGTTTTCTCCCGGTTGACAGAGAGGCGTGTCCCTCCCCTGAAGCCGCCCTTCTGCTTAGTGTTCCAACCCTGAGCACAGCAGTGGGTGTCCGAGTTCCAAACTCTGAATATCTTATTTCTGATCTCTTAACTGAATTTCACTGACGTGGTGCTTCTAAAAATGCCCCCTCTGCTGACTCGGGGGCCAGGGAATGATTCTGAAGGCTGTGGGTCTAACCTGGCCCCAGAGCAAACACATGTGTCCCCGTGAGCAGACTTCGTGCTGCAGGAGGTGACGTGCCAGTGAGGATGTCACCAGTTCACTGTTGTCATTCTCAAAGGTGGGTGCATGGTCCAGTGTCCTTAAGCATTAGTGCTACAGCAAATCGCTCACGAGGGGCTGCACCTGCCGGCCTGCGGGCCTCTTGAGTGGCCGAAAAGCCGTGCCCAGTTCTTGTGCTGTGTTTAAACTGCCTTTCACAGTGAACTTGGGCCGCTCCCGTTACAAGCGGTGTCTGCCCCTCCTGCCACAGGGCCGTAATCCGAGTCCTAGTCCCAGGGCGGTCTTCTCATGTAAATAGAGCCCCTTCACTTCCTTCTCGAGCCCTCTGCGGCCTCTTGGTGCTTCTCTTGGGGGCTCTGCGGTCCGTGTTTCTCTTGACCGAAAGTGTTTCTCTTGACCAAAAGAGTTCCTTCTTGGGAAGGGCACAAGCCAGCCCCTCCCACCCCGGGATATTGCCCTGACTTTTTGGCCCTGTAAACTCTCCAGAAATCTCAGAAAATGTTGGGTTAGAAGTGTGGTTCTTCTGTCAGCTGGAGGGACCTGTGAGTGGCCCATTGAGTGGTTCTTTCGGAACCATTGTGGCCTGTGTTGAAAACGAGGTAAGGCTTGGGGGCATCCAGCCTCCTCCTGGCCCACCCAACTCGCCGTGTCTGCCTCGGGGCTGGCGGGCTTTGCCCGGGGGCCTGTGAAGGGCAGAGGGCTCAGTGGTGGGGGTTGGCCACCTTGGCCCTTCCTGCCACCCGACTCTGCAGCCAGCACAGCTCCAGAGGGGGAGGTGGCTTGTGTTCAGAGCAGGTCTGTCCCTTTTCCATCGCCGGGGATCACGTGGCTAAGGGTCCCGTGGAGGGTGGTCTGTAGGAGGTGGGGTTGGCACTGTCCTGTGAGCATCGTTTACAGGGCAGATAGGAGGAGAAATGATGGGCAGAAACCAAATGGTCCACGGTAGGTGCCCAGAACACTGAGGTAATTAAACTCTTGAAAGGCAGCTGTCAAAAGTGGTTACTATCTTAAAATACATCTTGGAGTGAAGGGAACGAGGGAATTGTTGTCTGGCAGGTACTATGGAAAGTGAGAACTGAGTTTCCATGCGCTCGTCTGCTTGTGTGACATCCGGGTCACACCGAGCGTCTTCTGTTTCCCTTGGTAGCAGAGCTGCGGAAAGTGCTCGCTTGGGTCCCAGCTGCTGCCCCAGTAAAGAGGCTCAGAGAAGGTGAAGTAGGTGGTCTCTGGGGACGGTGCCTCATGTCCTGCCCTGTCACCCGACCCTGTTCGGGCAGGCCTCTAACACTGAGAAGAGAAGCCCGAGCTTTCTTCCACCTGGTTGTCGGCTGTCCAGTTGGGAGGCACCTTCTAGGGGTCCCAGCTTTCCTCGATTCGAGAGTCCCTGCCCGCCCGGGAGCTGCTCTGCCGCCCCCGCTCCTTCGCATTGATCTTGCTTTTGATCTGCAGGTCGAAATGAGAAGGGGCAGCTGGGACATGGTGACACCAAGAGAGTGGAAGCCCCCAGACTCATTGAAGGTCTCAGCCACGAGGTGATTGTGTCTGCAGCCTGTGGGCGGAACCACACCCTGGCCTTGACAGGTAAGGAATCGCCGTGCCTTCTTTTTTTTTTTTTTTTTTTTTTTTTTTGTGAGGAAGATCAGCCCTGAGCTAACATCCATGCTAATCCCCCTCTTTTTGCTGAGGAAGACCGGGTCTGAGCTAACATCTATTGCCAATCCTCCTCCTTTTTTTCCCCAAAGCCCCAGTAGATAGTTGTATGTCATAGTTGCACATCCTTCTAGTTGCTGTATGTGGGACGCGGCCTCAGCATGGCCGGACAAGCGGTGTGCTGGTGTGCGCACCCAGGATCCGAACCTGGGCCGCCAGTAGTGGAGTGCGTGCACTTAAACGCTAAGCCACGGGGCCGGCCCAGCCTGTGCCTTCTTAAGTCTGGCAAGAGGCCAAGTGGTCCACTGTGGCCGGTGGAGTGGAGTTGCCCCTGTGACTTTGGCCGTGATCAGAAAGATGCCCCAGGGAGGCCAGATGAGTGGCTTCTTGAGGTTGTTGAGAGCCTCGCCCTCGGGCCCCGGCTGCCCGGTGAGGAGGTGGAGGCCACGGCAGTGCATTGGGTTTCTCTGCAAACTGTTTCTGCTCCGAGCTGCCTGCTCCCCCACCTTTGCACAGCTGTCTCCTGTGCGTTCTTCTGGCAAATGAGCTGTTTTTATTATGGTGCCTTTGCTTCCAAATCTAACTCAAAACCCTCAGCATTATTTTCCCTTTAGTAATATCAGTCTTTCCTTCCAGAAACGGGCTCTGTGTTTGCATTTGGAGAGAACAAGATGGGGCAGCTGGGCCTCGGCAACCAGACAGACGCAGTTCCAAGCCCCGCGCAGGTACCGCGCTCCCGCCTCTGGCTCGAGGGCCTTTGATTTCTTGTGGCCTTTTTTTGTGTTTGATTTTCTGGGGTGAGATTGTGTATTGCTCCCTGTTGTTTGAGTTAATTGATCCCTTGTAAATTGATCCCTTGTAAAAACAGTCTAGATGCTTTGAGTAGAACAGGCTTAATATGTGGTCACAGTTGAAGAACATCCTGGAAACAGTTTTTCTCTCTGACTGAAATAATTTGTTATAGAGGCCTTGTTTTAAGCCTGTTTTATTTCAAAAAAAGTGAGAAATGCTACGAATGTGATTTGTCTTTCTCTGCAAATACTTTGAGTTGTGACTGTATGAAGTCACCCTCCAGGTGCTTGGAACACAGATGGAGTCAGGTAGTCCTTTATTCTGAAGAGATTTAAGATGGAGTTGGAGTGGGGTTAAACCTAAAAAATGAACTACTAATATAAGGCAGCAGAAAGCTAATCCGTGTCTGATTAGTGGTTTAGATGATGAAGGGAGGGACTCGATTTCTTGGTCTTAAAAAGAGACAGTGGCCTAGGTTATCTGTGATTTGAAGGCTGTTTGAGGTGTTCCTGTTTGGTCCGCATTTGCTCTACAGTAGAATGTAACCGTTTCCAGAGTGAGCAGGGACCCATGGCCTAGGGCTCAGGATCCCCACATCCCGCCTCTGGGTCGTGGTTGATTCCCCACGGTGCTGTTACTTCGTTTCTGCTTCTTGTTGCGGGCTTTTCCAGACCCATCAGTGAGCAACAGTGAGTTTTTTAAGTATTAGATTTGTTTCCAAATCCCATGTTCAATTACTGAGGGCTTTTGCTGTCTTCCTTTTAACTTGCTCATTTGAACCATTTTATTTCTTATTCACACCTTCAATTAAGACTAACAAATCGAGTATCTTATAGTGGTAAAGAGAATGTAAAACAGTTCATTTTGCTGGTTGGCAGTAACGCTTATAAAAGCTTCTCTTTTTAAAGTTGGGGCTGATGGCAGGACTAGTGACAGAGGTGAGATTTGGGGTTAAGTGTCGGTTCCTTTGTCTTCTGTTGCCCGTCATGCCCACGCCAGTCAGTTGAATTCAGCCTTCGCTGGGTACCAGGATGTATGAGGCACGGTGTCGGGCATTTTGAGGGGCACGGAGACGGGGACACCATTTACTGTCTCTGAACTCGACTCTGTACTGGGAGGGTGGGGACATGAGGGTGTTTCTTTACATATATTCTAAGCTTTTGCCTTCAGAATTGTTGAGTCCGTTAAATTTCCTTTGTAACCTACTAAATCTTTCATACCAACCTGCAGAGAGAGAGACATTTTATCAATCTTTTTAAAAAAAAGTCTGAAGTCTACTGTCTTTTCTTTTCAGATAATGTACAACGGCCAGCCAATTACCAAAATGGCCTGTGGGGCTGAATTCAGCATGATAATGGACTGCAAAGGAAACCTCTATTCCTTTGGGTGCCCTGAATATGGCCAGCTGGGTATGGAAGTGTATTTCTTAAAAGCTCTGTAATCTAACTGTATATTTAGAGCCAGAAGTCAGTGTGGGGCTGCACACACGTGTTAGAAATGTGGGTAATTGATCGCAGATAATAGCCTTGATCCATTAAGAGGATCTCACATTTGGTGGAACAGCACGTAACTCACAGAGTAGGGAGCATTACAGTAACTCTCCTTAATGAAAACGTCAGGGCTGGAGTCTGACAAAAGATTCTTTTTTCTGATTTGGGAATTCGTTTATATATATAAAGAGGTTTCAAAGTTGTAAAAAAAAAAAAAAAAGAATCAGCCACCTTTATTTAGTTTTGTATTTAAAGATTTGCCTTTTTTGAAAGTGAGAAAAGAACACAAGATGTGGGTTGTTCTGAACACCCTGGCATGGGCGGTTATCAGGGACACGCGTGAGGAGCCACTGCCTGTAGAAGTGGCTGGGCTCCCTCCCTGCTTTTCATCCCGAAACAGAATCTACTCATCTCAAAACACATCTACGTTTATCTCATTGAGTAGAAAAGAAAAATTCAGAAAGCGGTTCTCAGCAGTTCTCAGTAAGTGGAAAATGTCTCTCGATCATGATTTTACAAGGTCTCCATTTTCTTTCCTATCTGACACCAAAGTGTCTTTTTTTTTTTTTTTTTCTGGCGCCTTCCCACCATGCCAGCCCCTTCTTCCCAGTAGGAGGTGAGGAGTGGGCGCCCTCTGCTGGCTCTTTGCTGCATGCCACTCCGGATGCGCGGCAGCCCCCGTTATCTGGGTTGCTGGGTCTCCCACGTCATTAAACGCAGGCAGATGGAAGACTGTATAAATAGAACGAGAAGCATCTCACTGGCCTTAGGCATTAGGGAACAGTGACTTTGTGAAACTAAATATAACTCAAGTCCAGAGTGAATAAGAAAGAACAGCCCCTTACGCACATTCTGTGCTGGTTGCCAGGGAGTTGCTGGAGACTGTTGGAGAAACCGTTTCCATGGCCACGGGCCCTGGTGCCGGCCCTGGCCCCGGGCAGAACACCGGAAGTGTGTGGCTCCCCTGCTGCCTGTGGCTGCCCCAGATCTGCAGACAAGCAGCTCTTCGTAGGTTGATTTTCCTTCAGGGAAATGAAATGATCTTGGTAATGATAATGCTAACACTTAGCAGTTCTGCGGACCGGTCACCACTGAAGCACTTTCTACAGTCTCATTTGCTTAGTTTATACTCATTTAAAGGTAGTTTGAGAAATCAGCTTGATTTTCATCTATAGAATTGGTTAATTCTTAATTTACCAGCTTACTTTAAAACCTGTTTTCAGTCTCACTGTCCAAATCCAGAAAAGATCCTTCTAGAATGAGAACACAGATGTGACCTTAGTGTCTAGAGCTCGCCCCCATGCTCTCAGTGCATTGACTGGGTTAGGCATGGTGAATACAAGAACGTGCCGCTTAGCTTTCTATTTGAGCAACTCTAATGATACATTTAGGTTACTGGTAATTCATAAAAATGCAAGTCTGAAATTTGTGTTGAGCTTCTCTGTCCATTCTTGGCTCATCCCGGGGCCCTTTGAGGCCCCTCAAGTGGGGCACAGACCATAATTTACACACCATTCCTTTGGATCAGTAGCTTCTAATGTTTTTGACTGCAGGCCACAGTAAGAAATACATTCTACGTTGCAACCCCACCTGAGTGTAGAAATACACGTGAAGAATTTTCACAGAATAACAGCCTGATTATAGACAGTGTCCTTAAGTGTTTCTCATTCTGTTCTATTCACTTTTTAAAAATAACTAGTTTCAACCCACAAAATCGAATTCATGACCCACTAGTAAGTTGTGCCTCAGGTGGGAGATGCTGCCTTGGTGGCCAGGTTGGGCAGGCGCCCGTGCTGCGGCTGACCGCTGGCTCTGTCGCTGCAGGGCACAATTCGGACGGGAAGTTCATTGCCCGGGCGCAGCGGATAGAGTACGACTGCGAGCTGGTGCCCCGGCGAGTGGCCATCTTCATCGAGAAGACGAAAGACGGGCAGATTTTGCCCGTCCCAAACGTGGTCGTACGAGACGTGGCCTGTGGCGCCAACCACACGGTAAGGGCTGAGCGTCCCCTCCGTGGAGGGCGTCTGTGCACTCCAGTGTCCCGGCGCTTGGCCCCCACCTGAGCGCGTGCGGCCTTGCCGTCCTGGCCTCCTCGGGGCTTTGCCCGCTCAGGTGGCCCCGGGCGCAGTGCTTAGGTTAACAGCTCCCTCCACGACTTCCACAGACGGAGCTAAACAGATGGGGACCCACGTTGTGGGTTGGGATGATACAGTAAGCGTTGTTCTAGCTTTTGGCTTTTGTCTAACAGAACGTCGGGGACATCTTTCTGGGTCTCTAGGCAATATCCCCTACTAGGGGTGTGGAATCCTTTTTAATCATTCAGGTTGTTTCCTTCAAGGCTACGTGTGATAAACAGCAGTGAGATTTTTGTTTGTCCATCTTTTCATCTTACCTTCTTACAGTTATTTTGCCTGAGAATGTCTGTGAGTAAGCATGCTTCTCTTCTCTGTTGAAAGAGCACGGGGCTGGGGGTCCAGAGGCCACGCTGGCGTCCTGGGTGCAGCCGAAGGGCTGAGTGACCTTGGGCACAGCTCCCTCCTGGAATCTTCTTCCCTGTCCTGTGCACAGTGACGGACTCAGAGATTTAGTCCCTTCAAGTCTAGAAACAGGTTGGCTTTTGTCCAGTGTGGTCAGGGGAGGTTAGGTCTCGGTTAGTCCCCTTCCGTCAAATTGTTTCTCTAGGTCGTCCACTCACATGGTTCAAACAGTAGACGTCACAGGTACCGTGGAGAAAGAAGACAGATTTTAAGTTGTTAATGTCGATGTGCTTACCTCACCAGTGACCAGATGGAGGTCACCTCTGTGTGGGGGGCTAATTAAAGCAGAACCCACGGCAGGCCGGCCTTGACTCGGTTCTTCCTGTGGTTCAGTCAGTATTGTCAGAGAGTGGAGTGCATCGGCCGGCTCCCTGGAGACAGAACCCTCTTGCTTCTGATGAGGGAAAGGGAAAGACTCGTGACTTAAAGTAATAATTGAGACTGGGAAGTAGTGTCCCTGGCAGAGAAGATAGCACAGGGCCTTGAATTGTGACAGCTGCCCCTGTTGCCTCCCCATGTTGGAGGCAGGCACGAGGCATCTTCAGTGCTTTTGCCCTCTTGCCACCAGCCGCTGTGCCAGGTTCTTGGGAGCAGACACGGTCCCTCCTCTCCCCTCCTGTCAGCGGGCCTGTTCCAACCCCGAGTCTTGTCTGTCCCTGCAGCTGGTCCTGGACTCCCAGAAGCGCGTCTTCTCCTGGGGCTTCGGGGGCTACGGCCGGCTGGGCCACGCCGAGCAGAAGGATGAGATGGTCCCCCGCCTGGTGAAGCTGTTCGACTTCCCCGGGCGCGGGGCGTCCCAGATCTACGCCGGCTACACCTGCTCCTTTGCCGTCAGCGAAGTGGGTTAGTGATTTCCCTGTCTGGCCCTCGGGAGGACGGTGTCCGGAACCAAGTCGGGATTTTTCCCTCCCTGGCAGATGAGTGCTCTGGTGGGGAGCCCTGTCACCGTTGTCCTGTTCCAAGACCAGGAGCCTTGATGTCATTGACTCCCAGGTGTTTCTGAACAGAACGCTCCCTTGTCACTGGTGCCAAGCGCCTTGCACGGCAGGTCCCCACCCTCTCGCCTTTCTCCTTGATGTTGCTGAAGATGAGAATTCAGCTCTTGAGATGTCTGCTTACAGTGGGAACATGTTTGTCTTTCCCAGGTGGTCTGTTTTTCTGGGGGGCCACCAACACATCCCGTGAATCTACCATGTACCCGAAGGCCGTGCAGGACCTCTGTGGCTGGAGAATCCGGAGCCTGGCTTGTGGGTAGGTGACAGTGTCTCCTGGTGAGCAGGACGTCTGTCCCCCTCCTGGGTATGGTGGGGACACCTGGAGGTGCCTCTTCTCTTGAGAGGTCTCTGGTCTCCCTGTCCAGGCATCGGATGCACCAAATTTGAGGCCAGGAAGGCGGGTACTGTGCTGGGGCAGGAGGGGGGTTGGTAAAGCCTTGAAGAGATGGCCCGTTTCTGCCTTCTCGGAAAGGCAGTCGTTTTGTTCCTCAAAGGCTTGGTGTGTTCTGCTCACTGCAGGTTCAAAATCATATTTAGTTAGGACACTTTAGTTACTCTGACACACTGGGAGGAAGAAATTATCTTCAAGTCAGTGATTTTCAATTTATTTTGAGGACACCTGTTGAGCTCTCTAGCACTTCTTGGTGAGGAGTTCGATTGTATTAATCAACTGCCAGGTTGTGAGGGAACAGTATGGGGGGATGTGGCTTCAGTCTGCTGAAATCTCTAGGCACCCCCACCCCCCGAGTGGGTGAAGGTTGACTTCACCCTCTGGAACGAGCTTTCACTTCATCCAGATTTGGTCTCTCCTCTCTCCAGGGTGTGTGTTCACCCAAAAGTGACGTGTCCCCCCCCGCCCCCCCATGAGCCCTAGAACCTGGGTTGGGGTGGGGCGGCAAGGTCCAGGGCGCTGTGCTTCCTGGCACTAAGGGCTCCACAGTTCGGGCCTGCATGGGACAGTCCTTGGGCTGCAGGAGAAGCCCTTTGGCCCTGTGTTGTGTTATTTGGAAATGAGAGCATCGTGGAGCTTTCAGTGGGATGTACTTGATTTTAAAACTCCGTACGTGGTACCACGCTCTTGAGCAGGTAGCCCACAGGAGGCGTCCGTAGCGGCTGGGTGGGTTACGGGGCTGGGGCTCTGGATGTGGTGGTGACAGCCTCTGCCTGTTTGCAGAAAGAGCAGCATCATCGTGGCTGCGGACGAGAGCACAATCAGCTGGGGCCCGTCGCCGACCTTCGGGGAGCTGGTAAGCCGGCCTGCACGATGAGAGGGGACCCAGTCTGGGCTCTGCTGCTGCCTCCTAAAACAGGCAAAATGAGTGTCTTTTGTCTTTCCCTGTTGCGTTAAGGTCTGCACTATTCCCTAATCCTTGGGTCACATCAGCTTTCAAAGGCGATTCTGTGCCCATCAAATAACTGGGAAGTCCTTCCTGTCTGCATGGTAACACGAGGAAATCGGGAAGCTTCCGAGCTGATGTCCGCTTCAGTTTGTGAACCATCGTTGTGGTCACAATGGCGATAGGAGCGGGGATGGTTTCTCCTCTTCCCTCTCTCCAGGAGGGTTTAAATCAAAAGGAAGAGTGTGTCATTCTAAACCTTGTGGGCAGTGGTGAGTGTCGACTCTCCTGGTTTCCCCCGGGTCCTCGGCGCCACTGTAGCTCAGGAAGCAGCACTGGCCGTTCGCAGTGCACAGGGCCGTGTGCCGTGGGGCCAGCCTCTGAGGTCACTGGGGACCTCCTTCCCTCGTTTTCCCTAAGTCAAGTCTAAGTCTGTGTTCCTGCTTTTAACCTCAGTTATTTGAGTGATGAGAACCGCCGGCCCTCGATTTTTCTTTCATGCGTACTTGGGTCTTCTCCCACCAAATGTCTGATTCTCAGGGTCTGGTGCTTGGTGAGCCCTTCGCTTTTAATTTCTTCATCAAGAAGAACAGCTTGGCTGTGGCGCTTGTCCTGACGGCCTGCCTGTTCTAGTTGTGATTTGATTCTCAGCCTGGCTCTTTTTGTTACTTCCTGCTGAGAACGTTGTCTGTTTCCCTTCCCTCTTCTCTCTCTCTCTCGTGGGCGGGAGCTGATGGGGTTGGTGGAGAGAAGGGAGGACATGATCCCTTCAGCCATCACCAGGGCTGGGGGCTGGAGGTGCCTTTCCCTCGGTGCTCTGCACACAGTCTGGAGGCTCCAGAGGGAGCCCCTCACGTGTGGACACTCAGGGCGGCCCCCTCAGAGGTGGCCCTGTATGGAGCCTTGAAAAGAGCCTGAGAACCTGGCCCAGTTTTTATGGATTGTTCTTAGAGAAGGACAGATGCTTTTAGGCCCCGTCAGAAGTCGACTCTGAATATCAATTTTGAAACGAGAGTGGAATGAGGGGGACTCTTGGGGCAGCCTCTCGGGGCTGAGGAGTTGGCGTGGCTCTTGGAGGAACTGCTCACTGTGGGAAGGTGTGAGGTGTGCTTGGCGGCAGGTGAGGCTGGGAGGAGGCCTTCCTCACCCACCCTGCGGGCTCCTCTGTCTGAGCTGAGCTGAGGGGTCCTGTCTCCACGTCCTCACACAGGACTCCCCTAAGCAGTCCATGACCAGTCCCTTCTGACTCTGGTGTCCTGGAGTCACGAACAGTGGGTGGTGGCTACCTGGGCTCCAGAGCACAGGGCGGGTACGTCGACAGCCAGCTTCCTGTGTGACCATGTAGACCTGAAGGGCTGCATCTCCCGTTTCTTCTGTGCTCGTGATGGTGTCACCTCACCAGTGACCCTCCCTAAAAGGTACCCGTTACCACATAAGTCCCCACAGGTTACACTGCAGCGTCCCCGGCTTCCTCGGGTTAAGGACCAGTCCCTCGTTGGCAGCCCTTTTGTGGGTAAATGCTGCTGACCGCCTGGCCCTCGTGTGAGAACAGCAGGGCTCGTCACGGGCGGTCGTTATCTCTGCTCCCGGTTCGTGGGAAGCCCAGAAACGTCGCCCTCGTCCCCTGTGTGGCCTGTGCCGCGGTGACCCCAGTTCTGTGAGCGCCTCCTCTGTTTGCCTCCCCAGGGCTACGGGGACCACAAGCCCAAGTCTTCCACTGCGGCTCAAGAGGTGAAGACGCTGGACGGCGTTTTCACGGAGCAGGTGAGCGAGGGCCTCTCAGAGAGGAGCAGGAGGTGCTGGGAGCAGAGAGAGGATGCGCCGGCTCACACCTCGCTTTCCCTGCTTCTGGTCTTGGAGGCCCCTTTGAGTCTTGTCTGATAGCTCCTTAAGCAGCTTTCCTGCCGCCTTGTGCTAGAGTTTTCTGACGGGTAACGGCCACGAGCAGGAGAAAGCTGAGGCGTGCAGGCCAGCTCACTGGCCATTCTCACCCTGGCTGACACTGGCCACGGTCCCTCCACAGCGGATTGGCTCTGCGGGGGGCGCGCCGCTCGTGTCTGCCTTGCACCTTCACCCGAGATGACACACACTGGGCTGTGGGGCAGATGGCCGGCGAGGCGCCTGCTGTTACATCCACCATGCTGCCAGCCCTTGTCGCCGAGATGCAGATGGGGCTCGCGCCCTCACTCAGGGTGGCACTGTGCTCCCGAGAGGCGGAGGGAGCAGGGAGAAGGACCCTGGGTCCCCGCCAGTCCCTGCTCATGGAGCCGGTGTTGAAGCCGTGCCCAGCATCCTGCCCTTCATCTCGTCTCCCCGTGGAAGGTTTTGGTTGGGGCCTTGGTGACAGGTCACAGTGGCACTGGTGGTCTTTAGGGAGGGGTTTTTATGCACTTTTCAGGAGTCCTCCATCTTTCTCCATACTGACCCAGCCTGCCAGCCCAGCTCACCAGTGTCGGCCTCGTGCTTGTCTGCTCCAAACTCGGTGAGGGGTGGGTGCACGAGCCCTTGCACACCCAGCGCTGTTTGTTCCCTCAGGTCGCCATGGGCTACTCACACTCCTTGGTGATCGCCAGAGATGAAAGCGAGACGGAGAAAGAGAAGATCAGGAAACTGCCAGAGTATAACCCGCGCACCCTCTGACTCTCCGGAGCCCCTCCCACTCCACACCTCGCGGCAGCTGTCATTTCCACGTGCACTGGGACGGGAAGTCAAGGAGGAGTTGAGAAAAGCAAAAGTCGACCGAGGGTGCATTTTCGTTAGACTCCCTGAGGTTCCGTTTTATAAGTGATTCAACATCAACTACCTTTTCTGTATGCTTTCCAAAGTGTTTTTTTCTCTTATTGTTTAATTAAAATATTTGCTCATAGTTGACTTACCATTCCTACAAAAGAGGCAGAAACTTTGAGCAATCTAGGTTTTTTAAGTTGTTTTTTTCCCCCCTCTCCTAAGTATACTTCTCAAAACCCCCCTTTCCAGTTGTACTGAGCATTGTGATCCGAGTGGGTGCTTCCTGGAGCGGAGTCACCATTTACTCAGAAAAGCAAATCCCTTGTGGGACCTGGCAGCATCCAGACAGGTGGTCTCCTCACTGCGTGCTTTGGAAGCATCTGGGTCACTTCTTTCCTGCTTTTTGTTGTAGTCCGGCTGATGCTGGCGTGGTTCTGTTTCTCCCCTTGGCTGCTTGTAAGCCCCACCACCTTCTGGCTGCGACATTAATGGAATCTGCCGTTTCCCCCCTGGTGGGGGCTCTGGGGTCTGTGTTTAGCCATTTATATCTACTTTAGCTGTAAAACAAGTCCAAATGAAAATCAGGTGATTGTGGAACCCGTGGGGACTTGGCGGGTGGGCAGACATTGGGGCAGTGTATCTGGTTCAAGACCTGGCTTTAAGGCTCCTCCGGTGAGCCCAGGCCACCTCGCCAGCACTCACCATTAGAGATTGAGCAGCCAGCGGTGTGAGAAGTGCATTCTGCAGTCCTTGCAGGGAAGGGTCAGCCCTTATGGACCAGCCTTTGTTGCCTGTGCTTTTGTGTTTGTTCCCCCGCCAGCTGGATCCTGCTGGAAGGGCCCGGTCTGTTCTGAGATGCGGTCTCCTGTTCTGCTCACCCAGCTCTCTAGTCATGTTTGCTTGGCTGTGGTACCAAATAGGTGGGAATCCTGAAGTCCCCTTCCCCAAGTGTCAGCGCAGATGCCGCGACGCCGCCCGATCCCGGCCACGTTCCCTCTGCCCGAGCTCGTCGTCGGCGTGGCGCTGTTCTGCGTGAGTTACGAGGTGCCTTTCCCGGAACCCTCCTCTCACTTGGACCCAAAAGAGGCGACAGCTCTGGCTGGGGCTCTTGGTTTCGAGAGGGTCTGGACTGGTTTGGGTGCTTTAAAATAGATTTTTTAGTTCAGTGGTGCTTATGGGGGAGATGGGGATAGAACTTCAGTGTGAGACTTGGGTGGATGGGAAAGTTAAATATTGGTCTTTTTTATTTTTATTTTTTTGCTTTGCTGTTGTTACCACTTGTCATTGTCTTGATGTTAAAATGCCAAAAATGATCTAGTTGTTGCTTTTTTTCCCTACTCGTCCGCCCCCCCCCCCCCCCCCCCCCCAGTGGCTTCTGCCTTTGCAGGGCACATAGCAGTGTCTGTCCTGGCCGGTCCCCAGGCCTCCAGTAAGGAAGGAGATTGGCCCGCATCTTTCTAAGAT